TCCTAGTGATTTCTATTCTTTTGTACTTCAAGTAAATGGAAGAGAAATAAAGAGGGTAAAAAAGGATCACCAAATACAGGCATACCTCCAGGCTTTATGTAATAATAAACTAAGAGAACTATCCCTTCCCAAAGTATTTCAGACTTACTGCTATAAAGTTTGAAGAAAAATGAATTGGTTATCTAGGGGAAAAATAAAATTAAAATCAGGAAATAAGACTTTCTGTCTAGACGAAAACTTTAGTGTTTAGCCATAGTTAAATTTTGCTTTATGTAATATATTAAGTTCTAGAAGAGTTGTGTATAAATAAAATTGCTGAGCTGAATAAAATCATTTGTATCATCTTTTACTTTAAACCTAAATTCCCATAGAAAAAATCTTTTCCTCAAAACTACACAGAGAAAAACTGCCAAGATCTTTTCTAGATATCTCAAAATTGGTCTACTATTATATTTAGGTCCTATATATTTTAAGAACAGTGGTAAAATAATTTAGAAATATTAAAGGACTTTGTACACTGTTAAATCTGTATGTGTTTTCTGGTACTTTTCCAGGTAGAAAAGCAGACTGTCATTCCTGCAAGCTTATTACACAAAGTTTTGTACTGAAACTTGACAACAGTATTTTTATTCCACAATCATCACTGGGCACATATAGCCATCTTGAATACAGAGATTCTGTCACAGTTAAAATATTTATTTCCAAATGATCCTTAAGTTTTTTCCCTGGTTATGAAATTACCATCTTTAAAAAGCAGTTTATAATTTACTTTTCAAATTCATTATTAGCAACTAGAAACTAATAAAAAGAATTCAAGGTCTCCTGCTATCTACAGTGTTCATTTTCAAAGTTCGGATGCTGCAGATAGTCTGTTTAGGGAAGTTTTGTCGTTTGTGGTGATGATGTAATGATAAACTGTGAAGTGAAAATGCCAGTGAATTTGGAAATAATGTCTTATCAAAGATAGCTCTTCTCTAACAGTATCTAATACAGTGTCTCCAAAAAAGAAAAAAAACATAGAAAAAAATAACTTATTCTGCTCATACAAGGTATGGGGCAGTTCATAAGACATTACTACCCAATACCAAGTTAATCAGTTTTAAATTTCACTCTAAACCAGTTTTCAACCTTTTAATCCCCCAAACAAGAGAACTACAAGACTTCTACCAGCACTGCAGTAATATGCTCATTAAGGCAATCATTCTTGGCAGTGGTAGTGACTTGGAAACAGAAGACAGGGGTAATATCATGCCATAGGTCAAACTAAGAATCAACTTGTTAGCATCTTCTAACAAATTCATACTTGGTTTATTTTGTATTATTTTAAAGGTATACCAATTCAAATCTGATTAATGTTTTCAAATTTTGGAATAAAAATATGGACAGTATAACTTTGATTAAAAAGCTTATACATAAATCTTTGAAGAAAAATTTAATTACTATATTTAACATACACCTACTCAATTTTAAGACTATTCTGGGCTGGGCGTGGTGGCTCATGCCTGTAATCCCAGCACTTTGGGAGGCAGAGGTGAGAGGATCATGAGGTCAAGAGATCGAGACCATCCTGGCCAACATGGTGAAACCTCGTCTCTACTAAAAATATGAAAATTAGCTGGGTGTGGTGGCATGTGCCTGTAGTTCCAGCTATTTGGGAGGCTGAGGCAGGAGAATTGCTTAAATCTGGGAGGCAGAGGTTGCAGTGAGCCGAGATTGTGCCACTGCACTCCAGCCTGGCACCCGGCGATGGAGTGAGACTCTGTCTCAAAAAAAAAAAAAGACTATTCTGAGGTTGATATTCTGAAACATAAACTAGAATTTATTTTTCCAAATGAGTTTCCTCTCATTCAACTTCGCTGCCTGAAAGTCCAAATTGCCACTGTTTGTTTGAATGATTTTGGAACTATTCTTGGTGAACATTTTGTTAGTTTGTAGTATGTGAAAAGGAAACTGATCTAATTTTTAAGCCACGTACAAGTATTTTCAAACTTGATTCTCATCTTAATTATTATCCTTTTTATTTCCAATTATAATAAATCTGTCTCCAAAAATATCTGCTACCACCAAGGATATTTAAAAAACATGACACAGCATTAGGAGCTACCAGTTTTTATTTTTTAGCAGCAGCTGTATAGCAAAATATTACTTTTTTTTTTTTAGACAGGGTCTTGCTCTGTCACCCAGGTTGGAGTGCAGTGGCACAAACTCAGCCCACTGCAACATCCATTTCCCATGCTCAAGATCCTCCCATCTCAGCCTCCTGAGTAGCCAGGACTACAGGTGTGCGCCACCATTTTTGTACTTTTTGTAGAGATGGCGCTTTGCCATGTTGTCCAGGCTGGTCTCAAACTCCTGGGCTCAAGCCATCTGCCTGCCTCAGCCTCTCAAAATGTTGAGTAACAGGCATAAGCCACTGTGCCCGGCCATGAATATCATCTTTTGATATGACTACTTTACAATGATTTGGATGTACTAAGTTCTGATGAATTTGTTTAGGAAGCACAAAAACAAGCTCCTAAAGTTATGTTCTTGTCTTAATGATAGTATGTATCTTTCATGGTATATTACAATTTTTTTTTTTTTTTGAGACAGTCTTGCTCTGTTGGCCAGGCTGGAATGCAGTGGCAGGATCTCGGCTCACTGCAACCTCTACCTGCCAGGTTCAAGTGATTCTCCTGCCTCAGCCCTCAAGTAGCCGTACGAGGGACTACAGGCACGTACCATCACGCCCGGTTAATTTTTTCTATTTTTAATAGAGACGAGGTTTCACCGTGTTAACCAGGATGGTCTCGATCTCCTGATCTTGTGATCCACCCACCTTGGCCTCCCAAAGTGCTGAGATTACAGGCATGAGACACTGTGCCTGGCCAGTATTTTACAAATCTTAAAGTCATTAATAAAAAATATTTTTCTATTTACTTACTGAATTTCTAGTTTCTGCAGCTTTTGCCTTTTTTAGTCTGGTTTTTGCAGCATCCAAATCCAGTCTCTTATTTTGCAATAGTTTCCTTTCTTTCTGTAAATAGAGAAAAAAAAAATAAAGGCTAAGATGCTAAAATCCTGCAAGAGCATACACATTTAAAGTATTATTCCCTAGTAAACATATGTATCATTTGATAAAGATCTATGATTACCAAATTGGCTATAAAGTGACCATTCAGGTATCTGTCCCCCCACACCCTTGTTACTGTTTTAAATTCTAAAATAACTAAAACATAAATGCCTGGGAAAGATGGCAGGTGATGATGGAAACAAAGGAACATCAGTTTTAATATTTTGTAACCCTATCCTCGCCTCGGGAATATTTGGCAATACCATTTTGGTTGTCCCAACTGGGGGAGAGATGTTATTGGTGTCTGCTAGCCAGAAGTCAGAAATGCTGTCAAACATTCCACAAGACAGTCTGTCTCTACAAGGAATTATGCAGCCCCAAAGTCATTAGTAGCCAGACTGAAAAACTGTTTCATATTGTTTCAGATTATCCAGAAAGTGCCTATAAAGAAGGAAGTATGGGCCTAGGGCAAGGTTCCTTGATGCCTGGTGTTTTACCTCAGGGATTGGGCAGGCTACTCTTAATGTGTCATAGCATCAAATACAACCTAACCAGTCCAAAACAGAATTTAAAATTGGCAGAATAATGAATAAACATTAGCATAGTATCTTAGAATTCTTCAGGGAATTTCAAGCTTCTGTATAATATGTAAGTTTATTATAATTAAGTTTGCTTAATTTCACCCCACTGACAAGCTATTATCTTTTTTTATTTTTATTTTATTTTTTTGAAATGGAGTCTCACTCTGTCACCCAGGCTGGAGTACACTGGCATGATCTCAGCTTACTGCAATCTCCACCTCCCGGGTTCAAGCGATTCTCCTGCCTCAGCCTCCAGAGTATCTGGGATTACAGGTGCCTGCCACCATGCCCGGCTAATTTTTTTGCATTTTTAGTAGAGATGGGGTTTCACTATGTTGGCCAGGCTACTTTCGAACTCCTGACCTGAAATGATCCGCTCACCTCAGCCTCCCAAAGTGCTAGGATTACAGGTGTGAGCTACTGTGCCCAGCTGCTAATATCTTTAAATAAATTATACTTTAACTTGGTAATTCTTCTGTCTCAAGCCAAATACTTGTTTATGTAGAGACAACTCCATTGTGAACATATTGAAAGTTTCTATAATATATTGTAATAAGAAATCTACAAATTAAAGTTTGAAGTATTTATAATAAAGAGCAGCTTTGCAAAACTTTAGAAAATTTTCATTCTCTATCACCACATGGTGATATTTTAGACCATATTTTCATAATAATTCCAGGAACCTCTCTATAGATTTTTAGGGTTGGTAATGAATGAAAAGGGATAAAAGTATCTCAATAACACTGTAGAATACACAAACAGAGTAAATATATCAGAGTCCTTTATTTTGGTTTAATTTTGTGTTCTGGTGAACCTGCACCTACCCAGATTATTTAATTTTGTAATCCACTACATCTACACAGCCATTAAGAGGCCAAATTATTCATTAAAAAGAATAAATATATTATCTAAATTATTTTACTAAATAAAGGAGACATTTTTCAACTCACAGCAATTGTTTTATAATCTCCTTCTATAAAGTTTCTTAAAGGAGTAAGAAAATTTAAGGCTGACGTTTGAATCAGTTCTCTGTCTGCCGTTCCAATTCTTTTTTGGGTTTCTCCACATTTAATAAGGGCGTTACCTGCAAAGGAAAATAATTTTTTAAAATCATTGTCTGGTAGTATCATAAAATAAAATCATGTGAAGATAAATCAGCAATTTGGTCTGTTTAAAAGTTAACTGTTACTTATTTGCTTAAGTAAAATCAAATAGAATTACTGTAATTAAGGTAGTTTTATTTTAAAAGTAAATTTAAGAGTATAAATGTCTAAAACAAAGATGAACTTCCTATTGTAACATAGGTAATTGTACCAATTCTACCAATGGGACTAAAAAGGGCAGATATGCCCCCTAATTTTTTTTTTAAACCTCTGCAATTATTAGTTTATTAGTATCATCCAGGACTCAGATGTTCCGTATTCCTGCTGAAATTACATAAACAAATGCAAATAGAAAGAATCCAAGTCAAAATTATATAACAAAACAGCACTCCATCACAAAAGCATGTAAAATTACAAGAACGTTATTTTAAAACACTGGCACTTTAAGAAAACGATAATCTCAAAAACCACAAAATTGCCAAATTGTTCCCTAAACTGGTAAGCAGATAAACATGACGAATGAATGAGTTTGGGTTTTAAAGAAAAATCATCCAAATAAATCGAATAATTCCTACTCAGATGCAAAGTTTAAGTGTGTTCTTTCCTCCTATCTACTTGGATTTATAAAGGGGCAAACCATAATATAGGAAAATATACCCTATTCTGAATGTGGTATCTTCATTTTAAAAGCTGGCCCAATGAATTAAAAATACTTTTAATGGAAAGTCTTGTTTCCTGAGCAGTCCATATTTGATGGGAAAACACATCTATAGCCAGCATTTTCATAGTCTTCACTGAGACTAATGTCAACAAAAAATTTAATAGGGCAGTCTTGTATTTTAAGCTCACGCTTTTGGGGATACATTCTCAGGTCTTCGTTAATGTGGGAACTGCAAAATATAACTACCATTACATGGTAATGGGAGTTAAAGAATAGAGTCCTCATGTAAAGGTTAGAACATACTTTTCTATTAGCCCTTTAAGGACAGACTTTCAAAATGTTTGATTCTAACAGTCCCATGCTGTGAGTAGATCGATTACTCTTCAGTTTGTAAATGTAAGTGAGCTATGTGAAATTTCTTAACTGATCAAGATTTTGGATTTTTAGTTATGGATGAAAACTATCTCATCTTCTTTACCCCCATTATGATATGCAGGATGCGTAGACAAAAGCTTTTTATTAGCTAACTATATGAAAGGATAAACACTGTAATAATTCATGTGATTCAAAATGGGCAAAAGCAAAAAGACTAGCTTCCCCTCCAGAAGAAAAATTTCAGACCTATGAAAAGGACAACAATACTAATAAAAAAAATTGTATTTACTTAGAAGCATTCAGAATGTCAACAAAACAGCTGCAACTTTTTTTTTTTTTTCAATTACAGAGTGGTATTCAGTTAACAGAACAACAATTATTTCGTATAAGCTGCATCAGAGACAACTGAAGATGAAAAAACTACCACCCCCATATATAACTAATTTGTGCTGTTCCCAACAAGAACCTGCTTTAAATTTCCATGCCAATTTACAACCCCATATTGTACCAGGCAAGGTTAGTGGCTATTGAAAATACCACCAGGACAGGGCTATCTAAAGACACATTCAGTAGTGTGTTAACTATACAAAAAAAGACACTGTACAGTTTAAAAACAAATCTTACACAGCCTTACATTTCAATTTTTTTCTTTAAAAGAAGTGAGTTGTGTACAGGGGGGTTAAATGCTTTATAGACAAGAAAACAAAACTGCGCTAGAACCAACTTATTCATCATCATAATCTTCTTCATCTTCATCTTCTTCATCTTCCTCTTCCTCCTCATCCTCTTCATTTTCCTCATCTTCCTCCTCTTCCTTCTTTTTCTTGTTTTTTGGCTGCATCAGGCTTTCCATTGGCTTGATATGCAGCAATATCCTTTTTGTATTTTTCCGTCAGCTTTGCAGCTTTCTTTTCATAAGGCTGCTTGTCATCTGCCACAGTGTTATTCCAAATCTCTCCCAGTTTCTTCGCAGCATCACCAGTGGACAAGCCAGGATGTTCTCCTTTGATTTTTGGGTGATACTCAGAGCAGAACAGGAAAAAGGCCGAAGGAGGCCTCTTGGGTGCACTGGGATCCTTGAACTTCTTTTTTGTCTCCCCTTTAGGAGGAATATAGGTTTTCATTTCTCTCTCATAACGGGCCTTATCTGCCTTTGCCATAACTTCAAATTTTCCTTTTTCTTCAGCAGACATGGTCTTCCACCTCTCTGAGCACTTCTTAGAAAACTCTGAGAAGTTGACTAAAACATCTGGGTGCTTCTTCTAATGCTCCTCCAGACAAGTTTGCACAAAAAATGCATATGATGACATTTTGCCTCTCGGCTTCTTAGGCTCTCTTTTTCCCATGTTTAGTTATTTTTCCTCAGCGAGGCGCAGACTTGCCCAGTGCCCGTCTGGCTCTCTCGTGCCCCGGCGCTGTCTCTATGGAGCTCAATGTACTGCAATGGCTGTGAGAGCGGGAGCCCACCCCAAAATATTTATGGTCACAATTCAAATAGTGTACAGTCGGCCCTGGGTATCTGTGGGTTCTGCATCCATGGACTCAACCAACCACAGATAAAAAATATTCAGAAAAACATAAAGATGGCCAAGGAGCCAGGCACAGTGGTGGCATGTGACTGTAGTCCCAGCTACTCTGAAGCTGAGGCAGGAGGATCGTTTGAGCCCAGGAGTTTAAGGCCAGCCTGGGCAACACAGCAGGGCCTGTTACTATTTAAAAAAAAAAGAAAGAAGGAAAAGAAAAGAAAAAAGATGGTTTCCTCTGTACTGAACATGTATAGACTTTTCCCCCTTGTCATTATTCCCTAAAAAAATGTAGCATAACAACTATTTACATAGCATTTACATTCAGATGATTTAAAGTATAAGGGAGGATATGCATAGGTATATGCAAACTCTGTGCCATTTTATACAAGGCACTTCAGTATCCATGGATTTTGGTATCCTTAGGGTGGGGGGGTGCGCTGGAACCAATCCCCCATGGATACTGAGGGATGACTATAGTTATAAAAGTATAATGCTTACAAGAGATCAAGTCACAATTTGTCCTCTGTTTCTATATTCTTGCACTTATCATCTCAAATATCTGTAAGTAATAGTTCATACCAATAAGTTAAAAACAAATCCATGCTTTTGCAATATATATACTCTGATACTTAAATAAGACAAGTACAGTAGGAAAGTAGAGGTAGAAAGTAGAATAGAAAGAAAGGAAATCCCAATATCAGGGCTCCACTTCTAGTTTTACTTCTAATAAGCTTTAGCTCTGTGGATCTTAATCCCTTCCTGTTAGAATAAGCTTGGATCTGACTGGTAAGGAAGGTAATATGGATAGTAGTTAAGAGCTTTGTCACTGGATATACACAGATGTCCATTTGAATTACTATTCTAGTTATATAATTGTGGATTAATTATTTAACTTTTCCAAACCTGTTTCCCTGTCGTTAAAATGAAGGTAATATAATTTATCTTAAATGCAGAATATAATGAGAATTTACTTCAGTAATATGTAAAAACATATACTATATAATGCTAAGCCCATGCCTGGGATACTCAATTTTTAGTTATTAATTACTAATAAGGTAATAGGTTCACAAAGCCCAATTCTAATAACCAGGGTACATTCACTGGAATTACTAGAGGTACAAAAAGATTTAAATGGGAAGAAAATCTATAAGCCTTTACTCATGTTTATGCTCTGCTAATATCTTTTTCAGCCTAGTGAAGGAAGGGGCTGCTGGGTCTCCTTCACATACCTTTATGATCCCAGCATCTAACTGAGCCAGCACAAGTAGGCAATAAAACATGTTTAAGGTATGTTTTTCTAAAAATTAACAGTTAAATTCAGAAATAATTTTATTTTGAAGTTTAAGCATTTTCAGACTTAAAAATTAGATTTTGAAGAACATAATGTAGAAGTTTCAATATAATGTAGAAGTTTCAAAGTTGTATATCTAAAAAAGCCTGTCAAAAGATTAGTGGCATTGGTATTTAGGTTATTTCCTTCTGACATAAAGATAACTACTGAAATTTAAAATTCATTTAATCCTAAAATTTGTAAACTATTCTGTAAATCAGAACTATGTGTAGAAACATATACCTACCATTTCATACCCAAATAAAGACCAGTATCTTGCAGATGTATTAATAAATACAGTTATTAGACATAAACAACAGGAAAAACTACTGAAATCTGTAATGGTCTCATGTTATGACAAAATTAGATCAGAGTAACAATAAAGATGTTTAAAGTCTGTGCAGCAACTAATAAAGCTGTTGTAACTAAACCACGACTATAGGAAGTTTGAAATACATAAGAGAAAAACAGAAATGAAATGTAATCCAAACATCCAGAGATAACAATCATTAATATTTTTTGGTTACTGACATTATTGCAAAATTATAACAAAAGCAATGATTTGTTCAAGCACTATGTGCCAGGTGCCTTTAATATAAAATAAGCCCTAAGAAAGATTTTTTTTTAAATGAAGAGAAATATACAAACAATAATTGCAATATCACAATTATCACAACATAGGTATTCTAAGATCAATGGGAGTACAAGTGAAGAATTCATTTGACTTTTTAGAACTAAAAAAGATGCAAATTCTCTGAATAACTAAATATAAGCTTAAATATATTAAATATTAAATTTAACTGTACATATTTGCCTATATTTCTCACTTCATCAATAATTTTTAACATAATAAATTTGAAGTTAAAATCAATTCTACTAATATGTTAATAACAGCTCTAATAAATCTAAACATAAGGATATCCCTTATTAGAACTTTTTGCTTTTCACTTACCATAAGCTGTTCCTGGGCCAAACTCAGTCCCTGCATCAATCATATATTGTCCCAAAAGTTCTGGGTTGTTTATACGACTTGGAGCTTTTCTATCCAGTTTCTCATAAACAAATTCTTCTATCCTGGCATCTAGGAGAAAGGTTAAAATTACCAACAATTTCTAAAAAGCCAAACTAATTAAAAGATTGTTTTGCTCCCCATCAGCAGCCATCTATTATATGCTAAATACAAAGTTAGCATTCATTCAAGCTCATATCTTAATAAACACATATTTTAAATTTTGTTAGACTATTATATAATTAAAAAATTATAGTTTGGAAATTTGATAAAATATCTTGGCACAAAAGCATTTTAAAATAAAAGTAAACTTATTTGACTATTCTACAAGATTTTAAGTTCTAGAACAGGACTGATTAATTCACTTAATTTTTTTTTTTTTTTTTTTTGGACAGGAAGTCAATTTATTGGTTCATTATTAGGAGAGGGTAGCATAGTGGAAGCCCTCTTGAGTGAAGGGCCCGCCACTTGTCCAGAGGGCCACGATTGGGGATGTACTTAACCCCACAGCCATCTGGGATGAGCCGCTTCTCAGCCACCATGTCTTCAAATTCATCGGCATTGAACTTGGTGAAGCCCCACTTCTTTGAGATGTGGATCTTCTGGCGGCCAGGGAACTTGAACTTGGCCCTGCGCAGGGCCTCAATCACATGCTCCTTGTTCTGCAGCTTGGTGCGGATGGACATGATCACTTGGCCAATGTGAACCCTGGCCACAGTACCCTGGGGCTTTCCAAAGGCACCTTGCATGCCTGTTTGGAGCCTGTCAGCCCCAGCACAGGACAACATCTTGTTGATGCGGATGACGTGGAAAGGATGGAGCCGCACTCGGATATGAAAGCCATCTGTCACAACTTTTCACCATGTACTTATTGGCACAAATTTGGGCAGCCTCCAGGGCTTCAGAGGAGAGCTGCTCATATTCATCCGATACCATGTGGCCACAGAGTGGAAACTCATCCACTTTTGCCTTCTTCGGCCCCAGGTCAAAGATGCGAATCTTGGCGTCAGGGACACCTCGGCAGAAGCGGGACTTTGGGTACGGCTTGTTCTTACAATATTGGTAACAATGGGCGGGGCGGCGGCCCATAGCGACACCAGGATCTTCAGTGGCATGCGGAAGGAAAAGAGCTAATTCACTTAATATTTATTGAAGGTGTCTTTGCCCTGTTTTTGCAGTTTAACTCTAATTTTTGTTCTGAATATACATACATAATTTAAAAATCAGGATTTCTGGCTAGGAAAATATGAATATAAAGTACCTAGAAGAACCTAAGACTTACATCTGAGAGCTTTAGCATGAGCATTTGCTCTCTCTTTTTCTTGCCTAGTGTCTAAATATAGACACAGGTGCTTAAGCAATAGAACAATCCAGGCATGGAATAGTCTACAGACAGATTAGCAATATGATGCCTTAGCTTTAATTTATTTTTAAAGTATACAAGTATGTATATGTTATCTCTGACTATGCATTCACTCAAAAGATTTCACCATTAAAAATAAGTTTAAAACGCCAAAGGTTAAATGCAATAATAGAATATTAGAACAAATGGAAAGGGGGAAAAAAACAATAAAAACTGAATAAACACTTGGTTAGCAAAATGTTTAACACCAAAGACATTAACATTTACAATGCTGTCCAACAGACAGCTATTTCAGGAACAAATGAGAAAATGGCTTAAGTTTACAGAAGCAATGATTAAGTATAAATTGAAGCTAAGTCCAATAGGGTCCCTATAAGTACCTCACATAGATTCCTACACATGAGGAAGTTTCACACAGTGCACTGAAAATTTCAAAAATGAGCTGAACCAGTAACAGAAAAACACTTCAGGAGTTGGTAAAAGGCTTCTTATAATACATAAAATAGAGTATGGCAATAATACTTGCTTTTGTGGTAGATTCTAGTGTAAAATCAGAAGTTTTAAAGCAGAAATTAAATACCTTTAAACAGTTAAAACCAAAAAGAGTTTTTTAAAAACATAACCACTTAGAATATACTAGTTAAATTTCAGAACTTCATTTTTGGCTGGGCATGGTGGTTCATGCCTGTAATCCCAGTACTTTGGGAGGCCGAGGTGGGAGGATCACCTATGGTCAGGAGTTTGAGACCAGCCTTGCTGACATGGTGAAACCCCATCTCTACTAAAAAAAAAATACAAACTAGAGCCAGGTGTGGTAGCACATGCCTGTAATCTCAGGCAGGACAATCACTTGAATCTATGAGGCGGATCTTGCAGTGAGCAGAGACTGTGCCGCCACTGCATTCCAGCCTGGGTGAAAGACTGAGACTCTGTCTCCCCTCCCCAGAGAAAAAAAACAAAAAAACCCCCAAAACTTCATTTCTTTACCTTGATTCTTAATTTTGACTGCTTTTCTACCTAGCTGGTCAAAAGTTTAAAATGGAATATTATGTTGACTTCATTCAGTTAATAAAATATTTGGTATATTAATAAATGTTTAATTTCAGTAGGTTATAATAAAATCTTAAAATATACATGCAATTCTACTACAATGCAATATGTATTTCTGCATAACATGTTTTTGAAAAACCCATTTCCAGAAGATCATACACTGTAAACAACATAGGAATTACAAGAAAAGGAGGATTGGGCTTGGCTACTTAAAATCTATGTAACTTAATAACTAGGGCACTGACTGGGCACGGTGGTTCACAACTGTAATTCCAGCACTTTGAGAGGCCGAGTTGGGTAGATCACCTGAGGTCAGAAGTTCAAGACCAGCCTGGCCAAGATGGAGAAACCCCATCTCTACTAAAAATACAAAAATTAGCTGGGTGTGGTGGCAGACACCTGTAATCCCAGCTACTCTTGGGAGGCTGAAGCAGGAGAGTCGCTTGAACCTGGAGGTGGAGGTTGCAGTGAGCCAAGATCATGCCACTGCACTCCAGCCTGGGTGACAGAGTGAGACTCTGTCTCAAAACAAAACAAAAACAAAAAACCAAAACCAGAGTACAAACAAAAAACAAAACGATTCTTACTACTACTTCCTGACACAAAACAGGGGCAGGAGGGAATTGTATTTTATTTCCCTGCTTACCAGTTGTGAATGAGCTTATTTACCATTTAGAACAAGAGGAAAAACGTCTATTACTTTTAAAAAGTGCCAGAGTATATAATTTAGATGGCCTTAAATGAATAAAAAATATTACATGGTGTCCAAAGACATTAGGACTCACTCAAAGTGTAGAAAGCTTATTTATTTTTAACTTTTATTTTAGATTCAAGGGGTACACATACAGGTTTGTTACCTGGGTGTATTGAATGATGCTGAAGTTTGGGGTACACATGGACCTGTCACCCAGGTACTGAGCATAGACCCCAACAGTTAAGTTTTTCAATCAAAAGCCTTATTTTAAAAGTCACTACCATTTAACTAAAATTATAGAGAATTACTAGTATTTGTATAGTGCTTGGAGTTTAAGTTAGTATCTAAAAGTAAGTCTACGGCATATCACAACATGGTCCCAGGCAACACTGGGGCAAACAGGAAAGCATATACTGTACCTTTGTTCTTCAGTTTTGATATGCAAAGCTCACACTGAAAAGACTGGATGTTAATACACCTGGTTCTAGTCCAATTTCCACTTCTAATTGGTTATGCTATTATATTGGACAAGATGCTAACTCATGAGTTTCATTCACTAAACAATTATTGTGCACCTTAACTGCAAGGTTATTGAGTTGACTAATCTGAAAATCTTGTAGTTGTCTGAAGATCAAATGAAATAATTTATGTGAAAATGTAAAACTTAAACATAAAAAAGATACCTATTTAAGCATCTATATAACTTTGTCTTAATTATCTAGGAACAATTCTTTGCTAGATGAAAAAGAAAAACATATTTATATACATAGCTCCTCATAACTCTTAAAATTCAAAGTTACTGCCTAAAATTGAAATTTTTTTTTTTTGAGACAGACTCCTGCTCTGTCACCAGGCGCCAGGCTGGAGTGCAGTGGCACAATCTCGGCTCACTGCAACCTCTGCCTCCCAGGTTCAAGCAATTCTCCTGCCTCAGCCTCCCAAGTAGTTGGGACTACAGGCATGTGCCACCATGCCCAGCTAATTTTTGTATTTTAGTAGAGATGGGGTTTCACTATGTTGGCCAGGATGGTCTCGATCTCTTGACCTTGTGATCTGCCTGCCATGGCCTCCCTAAGTGCTGAGATTACAGGTGTGAGGCACTGTGCCTGGCCTAAAATTGAGATTTTTATGAGGATTCTACAGAAGACTGAAAAATGTAATTTTAAAATATGTTAGAGTACATAAGTGTTTATCACCTCTTCACAAAAGCACACACAAAAAATCCCATAGATCCTGAAGCTACAATTAAAAAAAAAATCCTATGTTTTCAGATAGCCATTAAAACATTTTTTTTTAACATTTAAAAACCCACTAATAGTACTTAAGGTAGATAAGAGGTAGAATTTCTTACTTGGATTTGGCTGCAATAACACTTCAGTTTGTTTCATTATTTTTTCTGTCCATATTTTGGTACATTCAGCTTTGCTAAGGAGGTTCTCTAAGTGAGCATCCAATTCTGTCTTCTCAGCCTGGCCAAGCTTTTCTTCTGTGAACTGTTATTGATCGTAAAACAAAAATTTAATATACTGCAAATTAATTTTAGGAATCATATCATTAAGTAAAAAAAAAAAAAAACAAAACAAATTAAAAGCTAAACAATCCTATACATACAAATAACCATGTTCCAGCTTTGTAAGTCATTGTTTATGAATGCTTTTTTGACCCTATGGTAATTTATCCATATCTCTTTTGTGGATGACCTTACCTTAGAGTCATCACATATCCTTAGTTCTGCTAAAATGCATGGTGTGAATTCTATAGAAAATCTAAGAATACTTGGTATA